GCCTGCCTGTCTCCTCCTCCCCCCCTCTTGGCCTACGCAGTAGCCAGAGAAGAGGCTGCTCGCATAGACGGAGGTGAGCTTCCTAATCCCCCCCCCCCACCACACACACACACACACACACGCGTGTCAGCAAGGAGAGAGGGGGCACCCGACGTGGAAGTTTAGAGCAGTACAAGATACGTCTCTTGTTTTGCTACCCAAAAGAAAAGGGGGGGGACTTCCTGTTTTGGAGCAGAGCACGTCCCTCTCCCCTCCAAGGGGTCAGGGCTGTTATGGAAGAGTGGAGCTGAGCTACCTGTTTCAAAGGTTCCTACCCCCACCAAAGCGGAGAGTTGGGTGGGTGCCCTGTGTGTGGAAGTTTGACTATAGAATCCACTCCGTGTACCTCCTTCCTTTTGGAACTATCCCAGCAGGACGGTGAAGGCCATGAATAGCAGCAGCACTTCCCACACTCTGACCCAAAGAGTCGTGCACAGAGGAGATCAATAGAGGAGGTGGGTTGCGAGCACACCATGGCGGGGAGTGGCTACAAAGACCTGCGAGAGAAGCTGAAGTCCATGATGCCTTATCGGGACAACTACAAAGGCAACAGCCTGCGGGATCCTACAGAGTCCCCCTATGGGGCAGTTGGGGGTGCTGCTGCAGAGCGAAAACGCAAGTACCATGAGGACTCTGACTCTGAGCCCAGTGACTACGAGGAGGAGCAGCAGCAGCAGCAGAAGGAGGAGGAGGAGGCCCGGAAAGTCAAAAGTGGCATCCGGCAGCTTCGTCTCTTCAGCCCAGACGAGTGCGCCAAGATTGAAGCCCGGATCGAGGATGTCGTATCTAGAGCTGAGAAAGGCCTCTACAAAGAGCATACGGTGGACAGGGCTCCTCTTCGGAACAAGTATTTCTTTGGGGAGGGCTACACATATGGGTCCCAGCTGCAGAGGCGAGGCCCTGGTCAGGAAAGGCTGTACCCTCAGGGGGAGGTGGATGCCATCCCGGAGTGGGTGCATGACCTCGTGATCCGGAAGCTAGTGGAGCACAGGGTGATTCCTGAGGGCTTTGTGAACAGTGCGGTGATCAACGACTACCAGCCTGGTGGCTGCATTGTCTCCCATGTGGACCCTATCCACATCTTTGAGAGACCTATCGTCTCCGTGTCTTTCTTCAGCGACTCTGCACTCTGCTTTGGCTGTAAGTTCCAGTTCAAGCCCATCAGAGTCTCCGAACCTGTCTTGTTCCTGCCAGTGAGGAGAGGGAGTGTCACTGTGCTAAGGTAACTAAGTGGAAGGCCTCTGAGTTTCAGGGACTAAACTGAGACTCCTTAGTAATTTGTTTTCGTAACTTGTTATCAGTACCAAACATCAGCAAAAAACACATGCCTGAGTTGTTTATCTAGCATCCTAGATACACGGGCTTTCTACTGACTGGGTAGGAGGATGGAGGAAGGATACTTGGGACAGAGGCATTATGGTCAGTGGGGGTCTGGCTGGAGCAGTGATTCAGCTCGGGCAGCAGGCAGTGACGCAGCTAGGCTTGGGAGGAAGACAAGCCCATCTGCAGTGGCCTCAATGAGAATGTCTGTGCATGGAACGTTGGTGGATTGAAGCTCACGCCTATCTACGGTTAGAATACACAGTAAGGCAGAAAATGCAGCCCCTGCCCGATAGTGTGTCTGTGATAGAGCAGCTGATTTAGAAGTTAGGACTCCTGGGTTCTATTCTTAGCTTATTCACTGACTTCCTGTGTGACTGTAAACAGGGTGAGGTGAGGTGACTGGCCTCATTTTTCTCTACCTGTAAAGTGGGGATATTAAGTCTTAGCTGCCTTTTTGTAGAAGGCTCTGAGATCTCCTGTGAAACATAGTTTGCAAGTGCAAATCATGTAGCATTTCATAGCTTCAAAGCACTGTACAAACTGTGTGCATCAGCCCTGTATGATAGGTACAGTAAGGTCCCCCACACACTCTTACAGATGGGGAAACAGCCCTACCTGCCCAAGGTCATGCAGCAAGTCACTGGTAAAGCCAGGATTGGGACTTCCCAGTCCCAACTTCTAATCCCTTTCTCTGTCTCTGTCCTGCTGCCTCTCTAACAACATATGGAATTTTGAGACCGGCACAGGTAGCGGCCAGTTAAGTTGCATGTGGGGATTGGTGCATGTGGCTTTGTGGAGCAGGTGGGCTTTTAGGTGTCACTGGCGGGAGGAAGTCACATGCTGGGGCTGCATAATTTTATGATCAACATTTATAGTCCTGAAGCTAAGGGCAGTTCTGCAGAATTCATTTGGACGGGTAGTCAAATACCCCTATTGCCAAAGGGAAGTATTTTAGCTATTCTATTGTCTGAGTTGGTAAATGCGCATGCTAGCAGTAAGGCAGTCTGTGGGTAACTCAGTCTCATGTTTTGGCTTGTAAAATGATTGCTGCAGGGGGTCAGGAAGGAATTTCTCCCCTCATGTAAATACAGCATTGTACAATTGACCAGGTGCATTAACTGATACTGAGCATTGTTTTTATCTCTAAACTGCTGCACAACTATTAAGTAATTCTCCCCAATACCCCTTGTGATAGGTGACTTTCAGATTGGTGGGGATAGAAAATTGACATGTAAGTGGGCACAGCTCTCTGAGAGCTAACAAAATCCTACCTGCTTATTCCAGTGGTGAATATTGGCCTGAGGTAAGGTACTAGAGACTGATAGGCAGGATAACCAGCCTTGATGGGCCAGCAGGTTGATCTGGAATAGTAAATCTTACATTGCTACAAAGCATTCTAGCTGGACAGGTGTAAAAGGAAAGAATATGGGCTGCTCCCAATTAAGTTAATGGCAAAACTTTCATTGCCTTGTATTGGAGGATGTCAGCTAGGTATTGACAAATAACATCAGTGGGTGAGGCAAGCGTAGAATGGAAACACAAGATTTTGGAATAGTGCTTTGAGGGTTTCTTGTTACTGAACCCTTGCTGGAATTGATTTGCTTAATCCAAGATAAGAGATTAGTTTCCAGTAAATAATATATTTAAAAATAGGGATTATTTCCATTTAAATGCAGCAGTTAGTAAATACTTGGCACGTACAGGACATTCTGCCAGAGGGATTGGTTTGTGATATTGTGAGCCAGGCTGGATCGAAGTTATGATGACTTATGAAAGTTGCCAGGTTAGAGAGCGAATGAACATGACTTCTAGATCCTGCTGAAGGTGATGCCTAAGATCCAGCCCTCTCAGGCACATTGAAGAGTCAGTTCTCCAAAGTGGGAGGGAGGAAAAATCCAAGTAAATAGTTCCTGAAGGCAATTGTTCTGAAAACAGAGCAACTGTATGGAGAGAAGTAACATGCTTGTAAAAATGTCTGTGTGACTCAAGCATTGCTGGGTCAGTGGCTGTTCTCAGCAAGACTGTGTTCCCCCGGAAGCCAGTGTAACAGCATTTCTTTGGCTGTGTGTATTAGGTCTGTGTGGGAACCATCAAAGAGTCTGGGGGGGGGGGGGGAAGTTGCATCTTCTCCCTCTCTTTGTCCCTCTCTTTGTCCCTCCCCATGTCACCTTTACTGTGTTGTTCCTACTAATATCAACAGTCAATTTACAACTGTCTTCCTGGTTTTCAAAGCTCTCTGTTAAGCTGTTTCATTCTGACCTTGTAGCCACCTATTTCCCCCTTCCGCTCATTCTGCTCCCTTGGCCTAAGTATTCTATCACTCTCTGCAGTAGAGTTTTTGGAGGCTTTTATTTTTTTTGTGGGGCGGAGGAAGGGTTCCATCTTGCTACGTCATATCCCTCCCTCCAAGGTATAATGGTACTTCCTCTCTTGTTTAAAGTTGTCCTCTTTAAACCTCTTTCTCTCCCACTTTCAACCCATAGCTGAATTTCTTTTTCCCCTTAGGAAGTCTAAATCAAGCTTGGTGTAAATACTATGTACCTTACATTTCAATGCCACTCTTTGTAGGCTAGAGTTGTGCAAGGGATGCTGGTGACTACTGACTCAGCCACATTAGCGTTTCCTTTTTAAAGGAATCTAGGATAGAACTGGTGTGCACGAGGCAGTGGGAATACAACTGTTTCCCAGTCTTTCTGAAGAGAATGTGTCGTCTTGGGAGGGGGGAGAGAATACTTAAACTGCAAAAAAAATAATTAGGAGCGTAGTGGGGGAGCTTCATTATATCTAACTATGTCTTGATCGCTATTGCTGTATCACCATGAATATTAGACTGTTCGTAAATGTGCCGTGACGATCTTTGCAAGATACAAAATTTAGCAGAATGCAAATCTTTCTCTTGGTTGCTAAAAATGATGCATCTTTCAGCTTGGGTCTTGAAAACCAATTATTGGGTTGCTGTTAACTAGAGGAATAGTGAGAGATCATCAACAGAGATGTGTGAGGGGGAGGGACACTAGTGAGCTTCATAAGCAATGCCCACGTGAGAAGTCCAGCAGCTGGAGTTAGGTGCTGTCTCTGAACTTTGCTGGGGTGGTGGAACTACATCACTTGTATCAGTGTTAGGGTAATGATGCCCCCACCCAGTCCCCATCTGGATGCTGAAAAGGAGAAGCGGGGCTTGCTTTCTACTCTTGATCCCCGGCGCCTCCTGGCTGCTATGAGGGGAAGATCTCTAACACTCTGGCCTTCCCCATGCCATTCTTTGGGCTCTCCTCCTCAGTATATGCTCTGCTGCTTGCTTCTTGCTGACCAGTTCTGAAACTGACAATATGTTAGTTTCACTCTCCTGCTGCTGGGCAAGGCTGTAAATAGCAGAGACACTAGCGCTGGCTGCAGACTCAGGATGAGCCAGCTTTCCTTGTAGTTGCAAGAAATCCTTAGCTGTTCAGGCTAGAAACTTATTTTAAGAAGAGAATTTAAACTTCAGAAACTGGTGTAGATCCCCTTATCAGAGGAAACTTCATGCCAGTAGCGAGTAGGCATGTGAATTTTTCCAGCTCTGCTTCAACATGTAGCATCCAGTCAGCTGAGTCAATGAGGGAGGGCTCCTTCAAAACCACTGATCACTGAAAATAGGCTGATGCCTTAAACCCAATTGCCACTGATTTGAAATCTATAGATCCCTTATGGTGATGGGGTAACATGCAAAGCACTTCTGAGATTGCCAGCATATTTGGACATCTTCTAGTGCGCTAGTGATTTGCACCGGCCATATCAAGTACACAACCTATGTCTTTCTTCCCAGCAAGGGGTTGAGGTTGGAGCAGTGTGTAGGGAATATGCTCTACTCCAGCAGAGATGAGGACCTCAGTGCTCAGCAGCAGCTCCTTGGACTATAAGCTGGGGACGCATCAGTTGGAAGTAACAGAGGAGGAGAAGGACCTTGGAGTATTGGTTGATCACAGGATGACTACGAGCTGCCAATGTGATATGGCCGTGAAAAAAGCTAATGCAGTCTTGGGATGCATCAGGCGAGGTATTTCCAGTAGAGATAAGGAGGTGTTAGTACCGTTATTCAAGGCACTGGTGAGACCTCATCTGGAATACTGTGTGCAGTTCTGGTCTCCCATGTTTAAGAAGGATGAATTCAAACTGGAACGGGTACAGAGAAGGGCTATTAGGATGGTCCGAGGAATGGAAAACCTGTCTTCTGAAAGGAGACTCAAAGAGCTTGACTTGTTTAGCTTAACCAAAAGAAGGCTGAGGGGAGAAATGATCGCTCTCTATAAATATATCAGAGGGATAAATACCAGGGAGGGAGAAGAATTATTTAAGCTCAGTACCAATGTGGACACAAGAACAAATGGATATAAACTGGCAATCAGGAAGTTTAGACTTGAAATTAGACGAAGGTTTCTAACCATCAGAGGAGTGAAGTTCTGGAACAACCTTCCAAGGGGAGTAGTGGGGGCAAAGACCTATCTGGCTTCAAGACTGAGCTTGATAGCCTAATTTTGGCAATTAATTGATCTTTGACTATTAGCGGTAAATATGCCCAATGGCCTGTGATGGGATATTAGATGGGGTGGGATCTGAGTTACTACAGAGAATTCTTTCCTGGGTGTCTGGCTGGTGAGTCTTGCCCACATGCTCAGGGTTTAGCTGATCGCCATATTTGGGGTCAGGAAGGAATTTTCCTCCAGGGCAGATTGGCAGAGGCCCTGGGAGTTTTTTGCCTTCCTCTGCAGCGTGGGGCACGGGTCACTTGCTGGAAGATTCTCTGCACCTTGAAGTCTTTAAACCACAAGTTGAGGACTTCAGTAACTCAAACATAGATTAGGGGTTTGGTATAGGAGTGGGTGGGTGAGATTCTGTGGCCTGCGTTGTGCAGGAGGTCAGACTAGACAATCATAATGGTCCCTTCTGACCTTGAAGTCTGAATCTATGACTAAGGAATGGCAGTATCTGAGTGTGACTCCATTAGCAGCATTTCCCTGTTGGGGTGAGTGGCTCTAATATGCCCTCTAATGGACAAGGAATGAGCCTGGGATGCCAGCCATGGGCAATTCACTTAACCAGGCTGTGCCTCAGTTTGCCTGCCTATAAAATTAGGATGAAACTTCTACTTATACTAGATGATGTAGCTGAGAATCTCAAATCACTTCAGACAATAAACTAAGCCTCTCTTCACCCCTGTGAGGTAGGTATTGACCTCATTTTACAGATTTGTAAACAGAGACACACAGGTTAAGGGATTTGACCAAAGTCCTAGAGGGAAGCCTTCAGAAGAACAAGGACTAGAATCCAGATATTCTCACAACGATACAATGAGGAATGAATGTTTGCTTGATAGCTTCAGTATTAGTGGTGTTGGGAGGCTCAGGGATGTAGCTAACTGACCTTAGCAAAACAAAGTGACTTTGTTTTGTCAGGTCTCACCTTGATGATTGTATTTGGTATGGGGCTGTTGAGGGACAGAACATTCTCTTTTGCTAGTTCAAATATAACTTTTATTTCAGTTTGCATAGAGCTCGGGCTGACCAGCTTTGGGTATTTATTGCTGCCATCTTCTTGGCACATGCCTCTTGGAGCAGGGAGGCAGAATATCTAGGTTTATAATCTTTGTGCCAATACTTGGTGCCTGTCTATGGCCATGAGTCCTATTAGTTTCAAGTTGGCATTAAACTCCTCTGTGAAGTAGACTCCCGCCCAGTAAATAATCAGAACATACAGCCTGATGTCTTATGGAGTGTTCATGTTTAGAAATTAGCTTGTTCTCTTCAGTTAAAGGCGTTATTAGGGTTCTATTAAGATCACCCACGTTAGTGTTCATCTTATCTTAATTAATGCACTGGAGCTTGAAGCAAAGATACTGAAACATAATAGAGCCCTATAATAAGCCCACTTGCATAACACGTCTTAATTCTTTGTGCTACACCTGAATAAAACACACTGATCTTCTCTCCAGAATTTATCTCAGTCCTAGAAACAACAGATGCTGTATCTTGGAGGGAGTGAACGGTAGCTCTCTCTCTCTTTTGGGGAGGTTGGGGGAGAATTACAGTCCCATCTATTAGTTAACTCCATGCATGTAGGAGGGGCTGTCCTGTGCCATGTATCCTTCTCTGGATAGACCTGCTTGAGTAACCTACAGCCCACTGAGCCAGGCCATGCAAGAATGCTTACTGCTGACTACTGGACTTTGCAATGAGGAAGGTATAGTGTTAGGGCTTTACTTTGGGGAGTGTTTGCATTGTCTTCCCAGCCAGTCTCTAAGCACTTGGGAAATGAGACCACAGATTTCTAAAATGAAAATAGAAGCCTCTTATCAAATCACTGAATTATGGAATGATGTCGATGCACTGCAGAATGTTACATTTTAGCTCCTCCGTGTTATCCAGCATGAAATCATAAATGCTAATCTTGCTGGCCAACCTCAAACTTGCTGCATTTATCCTATAAGTGCAAGCTGTCTGTGTTAAGTTTTAAAGAGGAGATGGGAGAGTGGCCTATAGTATTAGAGATGAGTTCACAAATGTATGATTCTGCATTTTTTTGTGTGTGTGTGTTCTGGACACACTGATTCTGTAGTGTTTTTCTCCTGAGCCAGATCCAGTGTATGTAGTGCCCCTGCCATCTATCTTAGAACATTCTGAAAGGCTTTTATCTTGCCAGAAGTGCCCTCTTAAGCCCCATTCGGGCATGGGGCACTCTGTGCTGGGATGGGGATTCAGTCTGTGCCTTCAGGATGCTGTAGAACAGAGGTGGGCAAACTACGGGCCACATCCGGCCTGGCTTTTGAGCTCCCGGCCGGGGAGGCTAGCCCTTGGCCCCTCCCCTGCTGTCCCGCCTCAGCTCGCAGTGCCACGTGTCTGGCTCCAGCTGGACGGCGCAGCTGCTCTGAGCTGCATGATAAGGGGGCGGGGAGCGGGGGGTTGGATAAGGGGCAGGGGATCCCGGGGGGGCAGTCAGGACAGGGAGCAAGGGGTGGTTGGATAGGCGTGGGAGTCCCAGGGGACCTGTCAGGGGGTGGGGGTGTGGATAGGGGTT